CAGTAAAACGGAGCAGATTCATAAATGAAAGGACATATTTTCCAAATCCGTAAATGTAAAATGTCATATATTTTTATTTCAGCATAGTTTCTGAAATTGATAGGCAGGGCTTTAGTCCGCTATCTTCAAACTACTGATTGCTGTATTTGTTGAATCATGTGTTGTCATTTTTCCTAACCAAATTATGGTGCACAATATAAAAACGTAGAAAATTGAGTAATTTTGGGATGCTGTGATGGACATCCTGGAAATGTGAAATATTTAACTTAAAAAAAAAAGTGACGCATTTTATTTAACTGTTTAACTGACATGGAACAGTAAAATGTCAAAGAAAGGCACAGGGAAGCAAAAGCATTACTCATGTTAATATAAAGGATCCAAATAAATAAATAGGTTGGTGGCTTTACACCACCTCACCCCCCCCCCACCCCCCCATGCTAGGCCCAAAGTTATTTGAAAAGCTTCATTTATGTATGTTTCTGTCTTGTAATGATGTCCATAAAGCTAAGAGCTGCCGGGATTAGACACAGCAGCCCTAAGTTAATTTCTACCATGATGTGGTTCTTATTGTTAAATCCATAAAACACGAAGGAAGGCGAACTAGGGGATACAATTTGTCCAAATCAGAATCATCAGCATTTGGCCTGATCCAATCTGCTGTATTTCCTTAGAAAACTTTAAACCAATCTTTCTGAATGATTTGATTGCACTGACTCTGTTGATATAGCATTTTGTGAATTGGTGCTATAAATACTAAATGGAATAAAAGCATTTTGTTCTTTTCACAGAGTTTAGAGACTTAAAAAAATGTTAAGTTTGCGTAATGAAAATTGCTGTTTTGGGTACTTTTTTGGATTTATCTTGAACATACACTACATTTAAAACATGTCAGTTTCTGGGATCTCTAGATTTAGCTTAAACTCTAACAAAAACCAACATAATCACTTTGTTTTGGTCTAGTTAAACTTTAATGTAGGTTTCCATTATTCATTTAGCTGTGAAGCAGAATGGCCTTTTTTCCCCTTAATCCCATAAAAGCATCAGTTCTTAATTTGAGCCTCTAAATTTTGTTAAAACATGGGCTAATGGACCTGCGATGAAGACGACATTTATAGAGCTGATATTTGAGAAAGTACAATGTAAGTGCAAATAGGGGGAAATCCAGCTCCATCTGGCTCCCACTTAAAAGTGTAATAGCCTTAGAAGTTGGATCATTAATTGCCATCAGTGCTAGAATAGCAGACAAGTGAAGCATTACTTCATGTAGCATATTTAAATTGTACTGGGTTCTAGTTTAAGTTCAGTTGTCTTGGTGTGCTGCTGTACAGTGCCTTGTGGGTGTATTCGCATGTAATTAACATTTGCTTTGATTGAAATCGTACACCTTATAACTTATTGAGTTTTTTAATCCACCAATTTAAATTAGTGGGTAGTCATGAAGGGGAAGGAAAGTATGAAATAAAAAGTGCAAAACAAAAGGGCAAATTTGTTTTATTTACAAATGAATGTGAATATTTAAACCATCAAGGTTTGGGTTATTTGCAATCATACTAAATCTGAAAAATAGGAGGAAATTTATTTAATCTCAACAACATGCTTTTTTTTTCTTTTTTTCTTTTGGTCTAACTGATGAGAAGGGACGACATCACTAAAAAAAGAACAAAATACCTGTTTAAAAAGGTTTTGGTGCTTTAATTTGGGGAAAATTTGATGATGACATTGTGGTTCAGGAAATTTGGTCAAACTAAAATAAGGAAGTGTTTGTTCTTCAAACCATTAAGGTGAAAAAAAAAAACTTATCTGTAGCTGAGAGCAGAACCTTTACTCCGATCCAAACTAACTTTTAAGATCAACCTATTTCTGATGTTTTAGTGTAAGAGAATAAGTTATTATGGCAAACCCAAAGTCCTTGACATATATTCATTGCTGAATAAGATGGAACCAGAAAAGCTTTATTAGAGGATAACTGCATAAAAAGTAGTTTGGCTTAATGGTATTTTATATTTTGCTCAAATATGGTCAGATCTTCAACTAGAGTTAGATCGATGCATCATTGGCTTGTAGCAGCTTTTTTTCCCCCTTGCATCGGTTGATACATCCATGCATTTGTCGATTCATTAGTGCAATCTGCAGCCTTGAGATCACATCAGACGATGCTTTGCATTTCCCCCATTAACTATCAATTGTTAATGTTTTTTTGATTTGTTAATACAATTTAAATTTTATTTAAATTTAGACCTTTGTAATATTTATTATCAAGAATAATGTAAGCAAAGCCCCAGTATAAAGTTCTTATTTTTCACTCTGATTGTAAACACTTACGTCTATCATGTTGTTTTATGGTCTATGCAGTGCCCTCTAAAAATTACAGGATAGGAGAACCTCGTCATGTCATGTCATGTAAAACATTTAACCTTTGTTCCATTCTGGTGATGCATTTTCTGCAACATTTCTAACAGCTGCCACTACAGGCCCAAATTTGAAATGAACCACCTGCCAGGATTCAATTTCTGGAGTTTATTTTCCAGGTTTCTGAAGAATTTCCCTTCAGACCAGGTTATCCATAGTGTTTAAATGGCTATTTGGAGGAGCTAGCTTGGATCAGATGGTACACCAGGTGGCCAGTGTTTTACATGGCATTCACTTTTAAATTTAGTTTAATTACTTTCTTTTCTGTAAAAACTGGCCTAAAATTAAGTATCCTGCAAGGGAACAAAGGTTGCATAATGGATCACTATCCAGCAGAGCAAGTTGTTACTGACTTTTGTATATTTTATTTCTCCAAAAACGGTATCTGTAGAGTGCAGTTTTGACATGATTACATTTTTATTTAGAAAAATAAGTTAACCTATTTTAAACATGAGATATAAAGAACAAATAAAGATTTGTTAAAGGTACAGACAATAACTGTATAAGGAACCTTCAGTTAGAGTCCTTCTTTTGCAGAAACTCAAAGTAAAAGAAATTTACAGGCAATGATCTAAAAGCAAACAACATAATGCAAGTCAAATAAGAAGTAAATACTAAAGCTTTTACTATCACCAGGCATTTCCTGAATGTTTAACCAAAAATAATATGGTTTGCTTAAATAATCCCCATTTACTTCTCCTATAACAAATGATCCCTTCGTTGTATCTTGCATTAAAAATGCAGAAAAAAGATCAGCCTTTTACTTTAATATATTTCCCTGCTGGAGAAATTAAACCCCACATTGGATATTTTTTGTAGCTAAATCAGATTTTGTGAATGGATTATATGTTTCTCCCAACACATGGTATTGTGCCCCTCTGGGAAAGGCTCTTAACCACAACTTCCCTACAAATCAAGTGTAAATGTGAGTGTTTGTGAGTGGCTTGGGGCATAAGAAGCACAGTGTAAAGGCCCTTTAAGTGGTGGGCTGAAAAAGCTCAATACAACCTAAATCCAATTCCCATTTATTCTGTCTTCTCATACAACATTTCACATGCTTGGAACATAAAGAGAGAGGATCTTTGGTTTAACTTCTTTGCATGATCTCTCTGGAACATTTAGAGCTCTGGGTTCTTTTTATGCTCTTCAGTTCCTCCTACATGTTTTCAGAAGGATTTGGCAAGGGTGGATTTTTTTTTTCCTCTGTCCTATTAGCAATAAGTTTGGATCATTATGACATATTAAATTGACCTGGGCTAAGCTCCTAGTTTTACTAGAACATAGTTTTATTCAAAACGTCATGTAATGTCAAACAGCTCCGTACATTTTAAGACAATTATCAGAGCCTTTAGAAGAAATACCTTACAGGAAAGACTACATTTATTTATTTATTTTTAGATCAGACCCAACTGAAGTGTTTAACTGTTTTGACTAAATCTCCTAGTTTGCTTTTAAGTCCCGGCAGAGTTTTAGCAAACTCCACAGGTCTATATTTGTTATGGATTCACATTAAAGGCTATTTGTGTCATCTTTCCAAAAAGACTGGTTGACATGTTCAGTTTTAAAATACTTGGTGACCAAAAGTGGCACTGTCATTCTGTTTTTGAGATCTATACCATTTTTCAGGAGAGATTTGGGCTGTTGTCTCACCCTTCTGGTGAGCTGTCCAGTCTCCACATCTTTGTCATTACTCCACCCATTAGAACACATCCCATTTGAATTGTTAACCATATTCTCTCGAATTTTCCATTTAAGTTTCTTGATATTTAACCAGCTGGATAACGGGAGATTAAGTAAGTTTTGTTTGCATGAAAAAAAAAAAAAAAAAGTTGGAGCGAAGGAAACTGTATCGTTGAGCTCCAGCCCTCAGGCAGTAATTGACTTGTGGGATTTGCATACATATTCTTAATTATGGTGCTTTTTCTAATTGCTGAGTCTATCAAACTGAAGAAGTCATAATTAATGCTGTCATTTTGTTTTCATTATGTACATCTAGACTTTTTTCCAGTTCAAAAATTTGCAATACTTGCACTATTGTACAATGCTCATAGAATATTCTCCTTAATGCCTTGTTATATCTGTGTTATTTGTTTTACACCAACACTCTCACACTCTTCTGTTATTTCTGTCCTCACGCTTTCCTCCTCTCGTCTCTTTGTAACACTCAACACTTAGACTCTGTCTTTTGATACATTTTCTGGTTTGAAGAAATATCAAAACTCTTAAAGTCCTTATCTATGCTAAAGGTTGGAACACTCTGTGTACCTTTTAGTCTTCTTACATCAGTGTCCCTCACCTCTGAATTCCTGAGGGTGACATCCTTGTTCAGGCTGTGTGACCACATTTCCCTGCTTGCATTTTTTTTTTCAGTTTCCTGTCTTATTTTTGTCCTCAACCTAGATCTCCCTGCTTTTGCTCCTCCATCTCCACTTCTGCTTCACCACCCATGACACTCACCCCTCCCAGCCTATCCCACTCCCCTCCTCAACTATGAAACCACCACTGTTCCCCTCTCCAGTATCTCTCTCCAGCTGATAGTCTACTGTTTTTTTTTTCCCGGTCCTTCACTTTTTTTTATGATGTCTAGATGCAAAATATGGAAAATAGATAGAAAAGTAGGCGTAGGGAGGAAAAAACATATTCAATTGGCAATTTTGCTTTGGGGAGATCAGGCGAGGAGAGTGTTGGCTTCCCTCCTTTCTCTCCCCTCTCCTCTCTCTCACTGCTCTGGCTCAGTGCAAAGCATGTGTGTTAGTGTGTGCGTCTCTCCCGGCTCGGCTGTTGTTCGCCGCCGCCACAGATGAGCGGGGAAGAGGAGGTAAAGCTGATGTCTCTGGCCAAAGGAAAACAGGAGGAGTTTGGACCGACAAGCGAGACTAACCTGAGGCTCTGATCATCAACGGCTCTCAATCCATCTTTTCTATACAAACACACACGTGCGCTGTCACGCTCTCTCTCACACACTCACTCACGCCAGCTGGATGTCTCCTCACTAGGCGGAACGGGAGAGAGAGGTGCTTTGGCTTGTCATTAGTTGAGGGCACGGGAGAACACGAGAAACCTTGACGCGTGTGTAGTGTTTCTGAATAGAGATGATCTGGTACTCTACTTACACAGGGGCTGCTTTTATTTGCTCACGGCTGAAGTGACTCTAACCTCCTGCTCGGAGTGTCACACAGGACTTAACTCTATTTTAGTCAATGAAACTGAGCAGCCGCGGGGGGCAATGGAGGATGAAAAAGGAGGAGAGGCATGTTGGGATTTGGGTGTGTGGGTTGAGTGGTAGTTTGGGGGTGTAATGGGAGCCACAGGCGGGCTGGCTGGCTACCACAGTAACTCAGTTCAGGGAAGTGAATAAGAGTGGAAGTAGGGAGGAGAGGGATGTCCTGAGGGAGCATCTTTCTCCTCATTCGCTGATTCTCAGTGGTACTTCCTCCCGTTTAAAAAGTCTCAGCCTCCCTCCTCGTTTACCCCTTGTTTAGCAGTTGCTTCATGGCTTTGAATTTTCTGTTTTTGTGGCATTTCGCCATGTCCCTTGGAAATCATCTTTTACCCTATCCATTTCTCTTTTGGTCTTTAACTTTTGTTTTCCTTGCCTCTGTTATATAGTCTGTGATGGATCCTAATTCTCTAACTGATGCTTCATTTCTCTGTCCAGGTGTGATTGCACAAAGGCTCCCTGGCTGAGGAGCTGGAAGGCAAACTATGGATCTAAAGGAGAGTTGTGGCAGTCAAGGGAGCCATGAGAGCTTCAGTTTGCGCCCCACCTCCTGGCAAGCATTTGCCAGTACCAGCACGCTGCATGGCCTGCGCTTCATTTTCCCATATGGTCAGACCGGTGCACGCCGCTTGCTCTGGGCGGCAGCTCTGCTGGCCTGCCTGGGACTGTTGGCTTTGGAGAGTGCAGAGAGGCTTGCATATTTCCTTTCATACCCTCACCTGACTAGCGTTGATGCTATTGTGTCTAGCAGTCTGGTTTTCCCCGCTGTGACCATTTGTAACCTCAACACTTACCGCTTCAGCCGCCTCACCAGCAACGACCTGTATCACGCTGGAGAGCTTCTGGCCCTACTGGATGTAGACCTGGCAATCCCACAGCCACACCTGGCTGAGCCGGATGTGCTTACTTTTCTTCAGGAAAGAACCAACTTCACAGCCTACAAGGCCAAAGCGTTCAGCATGAAGGAGTTCATGGATCGGGTTGGCCATGACCTCAAGGAGATGATGCTCTACTGCAGATATCAAGGCCAGGACTGCAGCCACAGTGACTTCAAAACCGTGAGTCAACTCGTATAGTTTTCTTCTTTAAATCTGACCTTTTGTCTGTGCTTATAGCAGGAGTTGGACTTTTTTCTAAGTTTTCTCTTTTCTTGTGAATTATATAATATGCATCATTTGAATTTTTCCAGTTTTTAGAGAAGGATTTTTTTCAGCAAATATTATGGCTTGATGTATACTGATAGCAGTACTTTCCCTCCCACGGTGCTCAGCTGGGAGTCTCCAACTGGCTTTCTCTGTGCTACTCCTGTTTTGCTTCACAGGCTGCCTCTATGTTCCTGTAACACATTATTTGCTGCTGTCTTGTTTTTGTTAAGATATTTAGCTTTGTGCTTTATCAGACATGCAACACTGAGAAGTGCAGTATTTTTAATCACTGGAGCAAAGTAATGTATTTATCTTGGGACAATACCACTTTGACTTCCTTCACAATCATGAAGCTTATTTTTAATTCTGCATTCAAGGATTTTATTTAGAATTTTAAGCGTTGCAATTTTGTTCCCAATCCTGCAATTTTAGAGAAAACAGAGTATTTGCTTGGATATATGTGGTTTACGACGTCTTTGGTTGGGGGGTAGCCCCCTGCTGGTTGCAAAATGAAAACCTTTTCCTGGGTTGTATGTTGATGCATTTCTGTCCTTTAAGCTTTTAGTATTCATCTTTATTCCAGGGCGAAGTTAGCAGATTTTGGCACAAGCGTAGTTTGGTTCTTGACATCCACTTGTTGCACAGTTGAACTCCCTCTGAGTGCTTGCGGGGTCCACTAGTGATTAGTTGTGCTACCCATGGGATACAGAACAAGAAACTAGAGAGGAGAATACCGAAGCTTATAGTTTGTACTCATTTGTTCTTATCAACTTTAGTCCTGTTTTGTTTTTTGTTATACAGGTGATTGTCCTTTTGTAATAAAGGGGTTATTACCTCAAATCTCGTACAAGACATATTAATGCTTTTTCTTTTAAATATGAATGCCCGGTTTGCTTATGTGTTTATTCTATTGTTTGCAAATGTTTGTTGTATAATCCACTCTTGTAGCTTAAGGCATAATCACTTGGGATATTCATATATGCCAAAATCAGTTATAAGCATTCTTACAAGTAACAAGATTACTGCTACTTTTCAGAAAAACAAAACGAAACAACATGAATATACACTCACCGGCCACTTTATTAGGAACCCCATGCTAGTAACGGGTTGGACCCCCTTTTGCCTTCGGAACTGCCTCAATTCTTCGTGGCATAGATTCAACAAGGTGCTGGAAGCATTCCACAGGGAGTTTGGTCCATATTGACATGATGGCATCACACAGTTGCCGCAGATTTGTCGGCTGCACATCCATGATGCGAATCTCCCGTTCCACCACATCCCAAAGATGCTCTATTGGATTGAGATCTGGTGACTGTGGAGGCCATTTGAGTACAGTGAACTCATTGTCATGTTCAAGAAACCAGTCTGAGATGATTCCAGCTTTATGACATGGCGCATTATCCTGCTGAAAGTAGCCATCAGAAGTTGGGTACATTGTGGTCATAAAGGGATGGACATGGTCAGCAACAATACTCAGGTAGGCTGTGGCGTTGCAACGATGCTCAATTGGTACCAAGGGGCCCAAAGAGTGCCAAGAAAATATTCCCCACACCATGACACCACCACCACCAGCCTGAACCGTTGATACAAGGCAGGATGGATCCATGCTTTCATGTTGTAGACGCCAAATTCTGACCCTACCATCCGAATGTCGCAGCAGAAATCGAGACTCATCAGACCAGGCAACGTTTTTCCAATCTTCTATTGTCCAATTTCCATGAGCTTGTGCAAATTGTAGCCTCAGTTTCCTGTTCTTAGCTGAAAGGAGTGGCACCCGGTGTGGTCTTCTGCTGCTGTAGCCCATCTGCCTCAAAGTTCCATGTACTGTGCGTTCAGAGATGCTCTTCTGCCCACCTTGGTTGTAACGGGTGGTTATTTGAGTCACTGTTGCCCTTCTATCAGCTCCAACCAGTCTGGCCATTCTCCTCTGACCTCTGGCATCAACAAGGCATTTCCGCCCACAGAACTGCCGCTCACTGGATGTTTTTTCTTTTTCGGACCATTCTCTGTAAAGCCTAGAGATGGTTGTGCGTGAAAATCCCAGTAGATCAGCAGTTTCTGAAATACTCAGACCAGCCCTTCTGGCACCAACAATCATGCCACGTTCAAAGTCACTCAAATCACCTTTCTTCCCCATACTGATGCTCGGTTTGAACTGCAGGAGATTGTCTTGACCATGTCTACATGCCTAAATGCACTGAGTTGAATTAAGTGTTAACGAGCAGTTGGACAGGTGTACCTAATAAAGTGGCCGGTGAGTGTACAAAGCATGCATGCTGAAAATACTATAACTATAAACTTGTTTGTCTTACCTAGTTGTCCGACTTAGTTTGGGTTTGCAATATTTGTTCATATTTAAGCATAAAAAAGATGAGAAATATGGGTTATTCCCTTCCTTATACATGATGGGCCATCAATTCTGTTGAATATAGGGGCAGTGCAAAGTTGTTAGATTGTGCGATGCTATTTTTAGAGGTCTGCCTCAAATGGTGTGCTGTAGTGTGAGTGTTTATAGTTTTCTAATGTATTGTTGGCTTGCTGTTGACCTTTCTTTAAAAGCATGTTATTGTAGACTGAAATGGCAATATCTGTAGCTGTATAATGTTGAAAGTGTGAAAACTGATGATGCATTTGCTTCTTGAATGATATCCCAGTTCTTAAGGGAGAACTTTTTTCCATTTAAAATTAACAGCATAGAAGACACACAAAATTAGCAACAGGAACTCTTTATCGATAGAGCAGTGTATAGGTAAAGGGTATTATACCTCAAATAAAAAAACAGGGTTCTATAAAAAACAACAACAACAAAAAAACATTTGTGGATGAAAATGGTGGTGATATTTCGACCTTAAACATTTCATTTTTTAAAAATTTCAAATACAGTTACTTGAGCTCTAACTTTCTATGTTGCCACGTCAAATGCATCTTTATCAGGGAATGTTTGTAATTTGGTTTGATAATTTTCCAGGCATGGGAAAAATATTGAAAAAAAACAAATCGATTACAGAAACATTTCAAATACTCCAGACTTTTTTTTCTCCTATTTCAATGGTAAAGTTTAGCAATGTTTGATAAATGCAGGGGTTTTCTCTTATCCTTAAATTACCAATAAATCAATATTTACGTTTGGACTTAATTAAACATTGAATGAGCTCTCAGAAATTGTGTTACTGCCCATTTGGTTAACTTAAAATTCAAACTATAACCAGGCTTCCTTATCCGGTTCTAAAGTGCTAAACAAAGAATTATGGTAGTGTGTATATATATATATATATATATATATATATATATATATATATATATATATATATATATATATATTAGTGCTGTCAAAATTATCGCGTTATTAACGCGTTAACGCGAGGCCATTTTAACGGCGATAATTTTTTTAACGCGAGATTAACGCTATGTGGTTTTATGGTACAATTTTCCAAGTGCATCCCGCTGCAGCCTGCGGGAAGGCGGGGCTATTTTCCCCCAGTCTATGCATTTCTCATAGGCTTCCAGAGCGGAGCTCCTCAAGGAAAAAAGACGCTCATACACTGGGTGGCGCTAGTGCCTTTTCTTTAACCCCCACCACCAACAAACAAGTTGAGTGTCTGGTAACTAGTAGCAACCTGAAATACGCTGAGAAAACAGATTACTGAGGTGAAATGGAATCTGCTACGGCACTCTTGTCGGTATCGTGTGTGTGTGTGTGTGTGTGTGGGTGGGTGTGTCTGTGTGTGGGTGAGTGGGTGAGTGGGTGTTCTCATTTTTGTTAAGAGGCTGAAAAGTAACTTTCTAGAGAGCATAGACTACCTTCATCTAGTGATGTTGGTCTATTGATTTTGATGTATTGATTGAAAATTGTTCATTATTACCTTGGTTAATTAACATCTAATGTTAATTCTACTAAATTTTATAGCAGTAGGGTAAAATGCTTGTCTTTGTTCAAAAGACTGTATTAACTGTAAAGACTGTCTTTTACATCAGCCTGTTTTCAGGGCCTTTTTTTTGGCTACATATTTGTTATTTTTTGCTACATGCCTCCCCATCTTCTTGCCATATGTTTCTATGGCATAAATCAGTATCTGTGACCTGTTTTCATTTTAAAAAAAGAACATTGGCACAAACCTAGCCTGTATGTATTTTTTTGTATGTCATCCAGAGTATTTAAATGATTTTCAATCAGGAAAAAAAATGTGCGATTAAAATGCGATTAATCGCGAGTTAACTCAGGCATTGATGCGATTAATCGCGATTAAAAAATTTAATCGATTGACAGCACTAATATATATATATATATATATATATATATATATATATATATATATATATATATATATATATATAAATAAAATAAATGATTCTTCAATAGTGCTTTAAAGGTGCTGTATTTAAACTAGAAAACTATTCAATATAGATAAACAAATGAGTGGAGCATAATTTTATAGTTACATAATTTGAAAAAATGGTGGAATAAGCATATTTAAAGTCTAGAGATGGCTTAACTACTATTGAAACAGATTTAACAATAATGGTTTATTTACAAATGTCTTAAATGCAGATGAACACAAAATGAACCTTGTGAGTAGGAGCTGTAAAGCTCTGCAACTAGCTTACATCTATTAACTTGACATATAGTAAAGGAAAAATCACAGTTTATTTAATTAGAAGGAGAATTCTTATTGATCCTTTTAAATAAAAGCTTTTTTTAATGTATGTGTAACACGGGGGAATTACCCGGATTGTGACCGAGGACGTGGCCCTAAACCAACTAGTAGACCACTAAAAGTATCAAGTAGCCTAGGGTCTCCCAATTAAATGTACCTAGGTAAGTCTGGCTTGAAATGAGGAAACAGATTTAGTATACAAATTATATATTTTATTTATGGATTATTTTACAATTGGAAGACAACTTTATTATTCTATTTTAAAATCCAATAAGGCACAAGAACCCGTGACAGAAGAAGCAATCTGAGACTCTAGAAAACACTGCAAACCACGTTAGTAGCACACAAGATCAAACAAGATTATATTAATTTAGAAGAACACGAATCTCACGTTGCGTCCTATAGAGCTGCGCCCAATCAGCTTATTAATAAAATAAATAAATGGTCGTTCTGGTTCTGTAGTGCCCGTGCTGCAACTCTAGCTCCAGAGAAAACCTTTTACCAAGAGCATAACAAAAAAAAGGGGTCTCAATGGTGAGAGC